TATATCCATAGCGCTACATACTACAAACGTGTCGAAGGGCTGCACAGCGTGAAGTGCTCGTCCGTGACCGTCGCCGTCATCCCATGGATGGCTGCAAACGCTTGAATGTTCGGTCGTGTACGGTTCGAGAAGGTCAAAGCTCGTGCAAGCGATCTCGATGCGCACGTAGAGACACGTTGCTAGGGCGTTCAGAAGCGCGCCGACGCCGTCGATGCTGATGTCGTTCTCCGTCAGGTCCAGATGAAGTGAGGACGTATTGCGCACTTCGCGCAGCGCACGTGCTAGAAGGGCAGCGCAAGCGTCGTCGAGGCCGGTATTCACCAGTTTCGCCACGACAAGCCCATTTGCGAGCAAGCGACTGAACGCAAGACTCCAATCAAAGAAGTCCGTGGTCCCGATGCACTTCGGGCCCTCCAACGTCACCGCTCGAAGGCCTTGCACGCGGTGAAAGTACGCAAACAGCGCGCGCCGAGCGGTCGCAGCCAAGGAGACGCGCTCGAAGGCGATGCTCTCGAGCGCCGGCCACGTTGACGCGTCAGCAAATGCGTTCCCGACACAGCCGTCGGTCAGTGCAAGGTGGCGCAGGGAAGGCATGTGCCCCACGAGACGTAGAGTGTCGGCGTGATCCGTGTCACAAGCCAATTTGAGCGATGTCAACGTGGCGATGTCAAGACGCTTCAAGAGTAAGCGCAGGGTTTTGGCTCCCGATGTTGCAATGTCGATCTCGGTATATTGATGCAGTGGCAACTTCAACGACACGAGCGCACGGAGCAGCTCGTCGGCGCCCCATATTGTGAGGCCTCGCAGCGAAAAGGTTGTCGCGAGTGTCCGAGAGAGCGCTGCGACGTCCCCGTTCCCGCGATATCCGTTGCGAAAGGCAATGTGCCGAGCGTGGCCACTGGTGAGCCAGGGTTTCAAAAATGCGCACCAGTCTCCCGCAGCGGGTGCAGTTGACATAGCGGTGCAGACCGAGGTCACGCGGTGAGCGGGCGTTGTGACGGCTGCGAGGACGTCTCCAGCACCCTCACCGCCGTCCAAGTTGATCGACCGAAGGCGCGTGCAGCGACGTAGCAGGCTGCAATAGACCGCGGTGCCAACCTCATCCCGCCAAGCTGCGTCCACATACGTCATTTTGAGTGGCCACTGCGAAACAAACTCGATGAACCGAGGCACGTCGTCATCGTCGTCGTCATCGTCGTCATGGGTCAATAATAAAGTATTATTGACCCATGTCGTCGTCATCGTCATCGTCATCGTCGTCGTCGTCATCGTCGGAGGGTGGCGTAGTCGATAGGCACTTGTAGAGCCAAAGTTCCGAGCTGCGCACCGACGTGAACACGGGTAGCGCCAAACGAGCCAGCGGGGTGTCGATGGCCGTCAAGTTGTCGAGGTTGAGCTCTGGCCACTTGTGGGCCACCATGCTTGGTCGCGCCAGCAGCTCCAAGATTGCTGCGAGTGGTTCGTCCAGTGAGGCAGGTGGCAGTGCACTCAGAAAGGCAACGACGTCGCCTGGCGACTGGAGGCATTGAACGATCGATGTGAGGGCGTGCCGAAGGCCCAGGACCATGGGACAGGCGCGTTGGTTCGTCGCCATCGTGGCCCCGAAATCAAAATAGACTGCGTGGCGGTGAAACCGGTGGTGCCGTGGGTCGCTGGCCGTGTCTCGCTCGAGTCAAGTAGTTTTGAGCCGATGCGACAAGCCCACAATGTTGCACGCGTTCACAGACAAGGTGCACATATTCAACACTCTAGTTGTCGACTTTTTCTGCCAGTCTTTTCAATCACGGCGGCGGCCAAAAGCTATACTGTAGTAGCATTCAACAGTCGCAAGCATAATTCTCGAAAATACGTCTCTAGGATGAGAAAGTTTCCGACTCAGACGCTATCGATGGACATTGCGAGCTGGCATTGCGTTGGCATGAAGATGCACTTTGCGCACAAACCGGATACGGGCCACTTTCGATTCAATGGCGCACCGTGGGTGTCTCCGTCATGTAGGTACGTCCATATAGTGTCCTTCTTCTTGACGACAAACTCGTGGAAAAGATATGTGGTGTGGTTGGTCGTGCTCACATGCACGCCGTCGTCGCTGGTCGCGCGCAAATTGTCATTAAC